CAGAAACATTACTATAAATTCAATCTGAGTTTGATGGTTACAATAACCTCACTAGTTTACAGTGAAAGTGAAAAAGACATATTTACAGAAGTGATTGCTTTTTTTATTATTATTAATTCAAAATTTCAACGGCAATTTGGAAATTCCACAAAAAGAAAAAAAAATAACTATTCACAAGAACCCTAAGACTACCTGGGAGAATGTCAGCCGCCTGAAGAGAAGTGGATTCAGAGGTAGACATAAGCAGAATCACGCAAAGAATGAGGAAAAAAATTATTGAAATTTGGAAAATTATTCGAGATTATGCTTTAAGCATTGAAATATACTTTGAATTTTTTTTTTTTTTTTTTTTTTTAAATTTCAGTAAAAAATTTGGACTAATACCAACAGACCTCAATTATAAGTAAAATTGGAACCCATTATTTTAAATCATTTGCAGTTACACCCGTGCCATTACTTTTGATTGCGTTATATATAAATGATTGTTTGAGTAATTTTTAGAAGCATATTTAATATAATAATGGGTCAGTTAGAGAAAAATTTGGGTCAAATTGGTTGAAAGGCCTGCAAAATTTAAAATTATGTACCCTATACCTTTATAACCAACAAACTCAAATTAAATACAAAATTAACTTTTTTCTTTCTTTTTTTAACCAAACTTATCGTTTGAAAAATGTTTGGCATTTTTTTTTTAAAAAACTTTTTATCATTCATGTGGCTTATAATATGCTTAAGGGGGGTTAGTTAAATTTCTAAACTATCCAATTCCTTCTTTTCTTGAGTGGGGTATAATGATATTTACCTCACTTGAGCATATCTCTTTGATATTTTATGTAAGTGATATTGTTACCTATATAAAATATCAAAAAGGTCCATTTGAGCAATGTTGATATAATTATACCTCACTTGAGCAATCAGATTTGAGCAACTCAGAGTTTTTGCATTCAAGCAGTTCAAGTTTCTTCATCAAATTCCCAAAAGAAATTGAATTTTCAATCCAGTTTGAATTAGCATAATATTTTTTCGTTAAACATACTTGCGACATTTTATATATCTTTTGATATTATATTGTTTCATAAAACAATAATATTCTACATTTCATTCATCAATCAAAAGTTTTTATTCATTCTTAAGGAAGCAATGGTATTCATGTTATTAATCGTGAGAGACAAGGATAGAAGTATCCAAAAATCTTATGAGAGATCTTGCTTAAGCTATATTTAAAAGTTGGTTATTTCTTAATTTGACTTTTTAAAAAAGGGTCAACCAAGAGCCTATTTGTTTTATTAAGTTTGAATGTAATCAATGTTAGTAGATTAAGATATTTTAGGTTTGTTTATTTTTTGGTTTATGTCTTTATCTGATATAAGTAAAAAGCTAAAATATTTATCTTTAATCAGAATCTAAAAACATCTTAATCAAAAAAAAAAAAAAAATTATATATATATATTGTCAACAATACCTTGTAATCCAGCCCAAGTCTGATTCTTTTGAGCTTAGACAAAAACTACTTTCCAACAGTTGTTTATGTCTATTGCTTATACACCATTGCTTAGCTTAATAAGGATAATGTGTCAAAACACTAGTTTTCCAGATTTGTATAATATGTAAAAACAAACAACTCAACGCTTATAATCAAACAAAGAGAAAAAAACATATCGATCAGATTTGTGTATTTAGACATATTTAACAATCATATACATTTAGCTTTCCGATAAAAGAACAAACGCCACCTTAGTTTTCTTCAATCAAAATGGAAATTTGAACAATATCTTTAAAGTTAAGTTCATCACACTATCTAAGCTTTTTAATTTTTTTTGACAAATGGTCATCATCAATAACAATAGTAATATTTGATAAGAGATTTTCATTTTATTTTAAATATTAATAACAAATTAAGTCTAGTTTAAATTTTTTTCAATATCAAATTTAGATTTCTTTTAAGTTATATGAACATATAGAACATATAAATGATATAGTTGACACCAAAATGAAATCATACATAAAGTTATAAAATAAGAAGGAATATAGAAGAAATAGTTAACAATTACCTTGAGCTGTATTTGCCATGTATGAGATTTTGAAATTCCAATGTTTTGGGGATTGGTTCATCATTCTCTTCGTCATAATCAAAGATGAACATCTTCTGGATCTGGGTTCCACCAGCGCCATTCCTGGCTCACAAAATTCATCTTTCACGGTTTCAGTACTTCGAAAATTAAACAACCTTAGAACTTCACTTTTGGGATAACAAATACAACTTCTTGGAATGCCGGAAAATTCTTGTACAACGAAAATTATTAGTTTTAGCGTCATATGTTTTTTCATTAAATAAGAAAGAAAGAAATTGGAATCATAGGTAGTGAGAGTTGAGTTTGAAAAAAGACCTCGTGATAGCCAATGACTCTGCCAACTTATTGTAGATATCACCATACTCTGCTAAAACAAGCAATTTGTTCTTCCTCATTTCCTCTGACTTTATACCTACAATAAAATTGGCCGATCAACCAAACAATTCTTTACTTCTTTTAAAAATCCCAACAGCTGACCAATCAGAAAGCAACTCTTTGTTAGATACTTTGCCACAATACAAGCGTGCATGTTTCTTCAAACTAGATTTAGGAAATAAGCATTATTTCTCTATCTGTTCACACTCTCACTAATGGTAATTAAGTAGGAGATCGGTTACTTGTCTTTTTTTTCTTGAAATGAGTGGCAAACATGGCCTCCGAGTATGTATCTACTACTGAGCAGGCACAAAGCGCTCTAAAACCAGAGTACGGGATAGGAACAAAGATTTCTATTAATTCAACCATCACCTGGAGCTAATTGTGGACAGAAAAAACCGGAAAGGTAAAATCAAAGATGAAGATTTACAACTCTGGTCGGGAGAAGATGATGAACTATATGCAAGAATGCAATTTTTGAAACAAAGAATATACATTGTAAGAACCAGTTGCAAGTTGCAATTATTCACACCACTCAGCTATTCACTTTAAACCCATTAAGACAACATTCTCTTCCATTCTCTTTTAGCTGAGACAGATTTATAAGGAGAGGAGGTGAATTAGTTATGTAATGCCCTTTTTTATTCAAACTTGAGTTTATGGCTTTATCCATAGTTTTTTATACGAATCAGACTACAGTAAAACTTATTAGTAAACTCTTGGTGCATATTGACATTAGCTATTGAGGTTTAGGTGCTATTCTCATACACAAATGAAATACAAGATATAGCCTCCAAAGTTTTTAGGAAACTAGACACAACCACTAACCTTTGCTGTGAGTTCTCCTTTTAAATGACAAGCCATAGTCCAAGAGATGTGACCTTTTGGAGCATATGTAGCCAACTCTTTCTTAGCCTGAAAACTCATCATCTAATATTACATAATCATGCTCAAAATATTCTGGCTTGTTATTATTCTATCCTAAGATTAAAACCATAGTAAATTGAAAACTTTGGAAACTTTGATACTCTGAGTTTAGGGATATCTTTACCCACTGCTATATTTATCTAAAAACGTCTAGATGGGCACTCAAATGCGTGCAATTACTTCCTATTTGACAAATATTAAAGAAAAAATAGTAAGTGTAGAAGAAAAGACAAATCATATCCAAGTTTAGTGAGATTAGAGGTCCTCTACTCAGTTACCTATCTAGAACCACAGGGTGCGTTTGGCTTATTATTTATACCCATATTCCCAATCATATTCTCCAAATATTGTTTGACACATTATTCCAGAAATATTACTATATTTTTTAATTACTTTTAGACCCCTTAAGTTTATTAATTTCATAATACCCCCAGAAAAAAGTTTAAAAATTAATAAAAACACCCCCATCAACCCATACTTGCCAGATTCCGACAACCACCATCGGTGGTAGCCGGAATCTGTACAACAACCTACACCATGACCAGAACTTTTCGGCCAGATTCCGGTGGTGGTAGCCAGAATCTGGCACTGAGGGTGGTGGGGGCGTTTTTGTCATTTTACATGTTGAGGTGTTTAATTAAATTAGCAAACCTAGGGGTTTTTTTTTATAAATTTTTAAATTTTATCTCGTAATACTCTCATATCCAACTACCCAATATATTCCCAAAATCCTATCCAAAATAATAAATCAAACGCACCCACAATTTTCACATGTATATACTATTGCTACCTACATAAGTGGCTTAACATCTAAACAACGAAGTTTTAATGTCTTATATCCTTAAGGGTTGGCCAATGTATGAACCAATGACCACTCTAATAATAAATGGTCATCCCTTTGAAGACGCCCTTGTATAAACTTCATTGCATAAAGAATGGGTATGCATTAGCCCACCAAATATATCAAAGATTTTCTATTGAACCGTCCAATTTATTCTGGTATCAAGCATATAGGTCATTCTTCGTGGATACTGCATGACAACAATTAACAAAAAAATCAGTTCAACTACTATATGCCAAAGTAATAACAAAATGTTTACCATTACACTATTGTTCATATAGAAATAAATCAAAGCGAACTAAGTTATACTCAAATTTTATTAAACTGACACCTGACCAACAGTATGGATAAATATGTAATAGCCAAACAACCAAATAACTTATTATCTAAATTAAGTCTTTGAAGGGGGCCTGAGTATACATATTGCTAACACGAGTACAAAAATAACTTTATAAAGTGGAAGATCTTTAATTAATTAAAGCTTCAATTGAAACATACTTAATTATCAAAACCAAACAATAAGTCACAAACCATTCAAAACCAATCATCATTAGATATCAATCAAGTTCAGTGCATATTATAATAAGGGTGCTCCTCAGAATTTTTTCGTAACTGCAAAAGCTCCTACTTTGTATGTGAAAATGTTGCGAACCTACCCAGACTTCTCAGTCATTCACACATACAATAGCTCATAACAGAAACAAATAGCAGTTCATGGCAACCTCAAGAATTCCAAAATAACAGAAGAGGTGTATTTCATTGATAACTCAGTTTTACACACTCTAGATAGTATCTCAAATATAAGAACTACTGGATTTAATTAACCACAATGAAAATAAGAGAAACGAATACTAGAACATAATAGAAACAGATATGCTGGACTTTGAGGGCCAGCTACCTCCCCTTTTCCTAACTTCTCTCTCGATGCCTATTTACTCCTCTGCTGCTCTCTTTATTCATTTCTTCTCCTAACAGAATTTATCCCTCCTCCCGTAATCCTTCGCCACCTGTCCCACTACCTTCAATTCACACTTTAGTTGCTTCTTTTAACACTATTGGTCCCCTGGTGCTTCTTCCCATGCCTCTTGTACACCCGCACTTCGCGTGTTGTATCAGAAAAGTAGTAACCATAGTTGTCAAAATCAACTTCAGCAATCAATCTGAAGATATAAATTTTAACATCATTAAGATTTGGAAACAAACCTTTAAGATATCAATTATGGGTCCTCTGAGTGAAGAGAAGAACGCGAGGCCTAGAAACATTCAACTTCTTAAGTAGTTGGTCTAAAATTACAACTTTACCATTAGCCTGATCAGGAAGTCAATTGAAACAACATTTTGTTTAGAAGGAAACAATGTAAGAAGGCNCCCGTAATCTTTCGCCACCTGTCCCACTACCTTCAATTCACACTTTAGTTGCTTCTTTTAACACTATTAATCCCCTGGTGCTTCTTCCCACGCCTCTTGTACACCCACACTTCGCGTGTTGTATCAGAAAAGTAGTAACCATAGTTGTCAAAATCAACTTCAGCAATCAATCTGAAGATATAAATTTTAACATCATTAAGATTTGGAAACAAACCTTTAAGATATCAAGTATGGGTCCTCTGAGTGAAGAGAAGAACACGAGGCCTAGAAACATTCAACTTCTTAAGTAGTTGGTCCAAAATTACAACTTTACCATTAGCCTGATCAGGAAGTCAATTGAAACAACATTTTGTTTAGAAGGAAACAATGTAAGAAGGCAGTAAGGAATATATAAATTGCAGGCAAACAAAAGCAGCAAAATTTTTTCCTTTTACAAGCAAAAGGAATAGGTAGACTCCAGATATCCACATCCTTTTTCTATGAAACTGAGATGAAAAGGATACCTGACCAGGTGTTCACCTTCTTTAAATGGTTCAGGCTCAATACCAAGAAAGGGGTAAGAATGGTTGTATTACCTCAACATAGAAAGAAGATATAAAGATTAAAAAATCAAGGCATTTGATATCCAAAAAGGAGACAAACAAGGTGCATAAAGTGAGAATGTGAAAAGAGACATGACATAAAATCAGTCAGCTCGCAAGAAGCACACCTATCAACACAATAAATCTTGATACGTGATTCCTACACTGTATGAGTGCCACTCACAAAAGTGCAACAATGGAAATCATCTTACATCACTACTAAGGTAGTTTTCTAGAGAAACCCTCAGAACAAAAGCCAAACACCATAGTTTACATCATCACCAATGGAAGACAAATCCGAATAGCAAAGTTAAGTAAATCATATATGTATAAGAATCTCAAACTTTAATAAAGAAATCAACGTTAACCATTCTATGAGGATGAAAGAAATTCCTGGAAATAAAACATGTATAAATTTCAACCAATATAACCAAACAAGAGTAGACTACCAATAAACTAAAAGCAAGAAAAGGGGAAACAAATCATTCCTATAGTTAACTAACGGTCAACTTGAAGCATCCTATTTCATAGTTCCTCGTAGGTGTACCAACTTGTAAGTAGAAAGGGATATGCTAAAAAAGGAATTAATACAAAGTGAAGAAATTTAGGCCAACAACGAAGAGAGCTTTAGGAATTAAAAACTTACATTCTAAAATATTGTTCTGCTATCATCCTAACACTCATTTCAATCATAGGTTTAAAAGGAGGATAATTCAAAACATAGGACTGCCAAGAGTTCAACAATAAAGGAGTGGGCCACTTAAACAAAATAATTTAGCAAATTAAAATTCTACTGACAAATAATTGGAATCTCTAAATCAAGTAAACTTCTCTAATGTCTATAGCTACTTCAATATCAACAGCTTGACTGGTGAGTGTTTAAATAACTGACCCATCTCCTACCCTATGTTTGAAAAATTAAAAGGTGTGCTTAGAATGCACCAGAAGATCCTGCTTCCAATAGTCCATACTTTTGCCACAACCTGAGATGATAAAAAAAGCCTTTCTTACAAACATTAAATAAACAATTTAGTGCAGAAGAAAAGACAAATTACATATCAAGTCTAGTGAGATTAGAGATCCTCTACTCAACTACCTGTTGATGTGAAAAGAAATGGATTAAAAGCAGTCATAAAAATACTAAAATAGCCCTGAAAAGAAATGAGGTATCTTGAAATAATATAGTGTCTACAATGAAGCAATGACATCCAGTGAGAATCTACCTGTCTCTGAAAATTCAGCACCAAGACAAAATATTTAAAGGAAGGCTATAGTTTGCTTCTTCAAACATGAAGAAACTAGGCCACCCAATCAGTTATCAAGATAAATTAACACATATTCAATTCAAGTCAGACTTAACCAAGTGCAAAATGACTAACTAGAATTCTGAGAATACTCCTTTGATAAACAACATTCCAGGTCATGATTCCAAGGGACTTCACGCCTAGGATTATATGATTGCACAAAAGCAAAAGCCATTGATTGAAGAGCATTACTTACACTACCCTCATCAAGCCCAATATTATATGATTACACAAGCACTAATCTTGTCCTTGCATAAATAAGGTAACAATATAATTCGTAGATTTTGTTGTACAAAAAAGGTGCAAATGCCCAACTTCCCGAGAAGAAGCAGAATAAAAAGGAACAAGTACATGGTAAGTTCAGTGATCTAATTTAGAAAAGAAGAGTAATTAAAAAGGGTATGCATCAATCTACTAATTTGAGCATTAAGGTGCAGAAATATAAAATGAACAATGTAATAGAACCCTGATTTCAGTATGCAGTACATAATATTATTTTTGTGTAAATAAGTTCTTTTCTAAGATGTCTTGTTTCCGATTCTAATTGCATCATGGGGTTATAGAGGTGTTGTGTTTTTTTTTTTTTTTTTTTTTTTTTTTTTTTTTTTTTTTTTTTTAAGCACAACTAGTGAAATAACCCATACTAGAATTAAATAGAAAAAAAGTAAAGACATTTTTCATCAATGTTGCACAGCCTATTCATGAAGTAAGAAAGTAACCTATAAACAGTGCCCTGCTTCATTAAAAGTAGAAAGGAACTCTTCCAGTGTCCAAAACACTGAATAGGTGTGCCAGTCATCAACAGTCTTCTTGGCATGACAAACTGCTCTTTGAGGACTTTATATAGATCTGTTGTGGTTCAATCATTGGTCTTCTGAATGAGGAAACATAGGAAAATAAAAAAAAAATTTTGCATTAAATATTACTTTTCACCTACTCAGATCTTCGTCATTTACACAACTAGCAGAAATTTACTCGACTTCACACAGTAATCACCCTCTAAAGCTTAGAAAAGAAGGAGAAGAATAGAGAAGAATGATCAAGAATTTACAAACATGCAGCTATCTTACTATCATTACATTCATTATATATTTGTTATATCTGATGATTGACATTAGCATCTCCTACATTTGTTAAAAGTAAAAGTAATTTATCAGCAAACAATTGCTACTGCAAAAATATGTCTATATTAATCTCAAACTTATACTAGAAGGGTTTTCAAGTCTCTGGGCTTCATCAATTATTGCATAGTACCAAGGTATTTGAGATAGAAAGTACTGAACCATCAAGGCTATGTCACGTGTTGTCAACAATATATTAAAAGGCAATGATGATACTTGCAAAAGGATTTTAAGTTACAATAAACTATTAAAACAAACACAAAAGAATATTTACAAATGAAATCAGTAAACCATAATAAAGAGCTGGGAACCAACAAAGAGAAAAAGTTTCCATAATGCACTTAAGTTAACATATAATTCCAACCATAAAAAATTCAATTTGTAACACCACATATTAGGAACAAAAACTCACATCAAATGATGAGGACTTCTCTTTTACTTGCTTGTACATATTTTGTGTAAACTGCACCGGTGTTCTTTCTCACCCAAATATTTAAGAACTTTAAGTTTTGGTGTGAATTTGGCCATCTCCAACAACCAATCATCTGTCACACTTGGCAGACAAAAAAGCAGTGCGGAAACAAGAAAGGAAAATCATTAACTCAAACCATTTCCATTGATAATAAGTATCATGACTCAAAATTGAATAAAAGGCTTTTTTTTTTAAATTCACAGAATGGCTTAGGTGACATATGATTTAACTCACAGTTTATATACAGAAATTAATTAGAAAAGACTGTTGCAGTGTCATTACTCTATTAGAAGTTGATTATCTGCTAACAACAGGAAAAGACAAAGACTCACTACCATCCCTATATCAGTTTTCTCATTGCCATTCACCTCCACTGTGTTGTCAACCACAAGATTCATAAACTGATCAAACCAACGAAGTGTTCCAACAACCATCTGGTTAGCATTCAGCTTGACAGCAGTACAAAATACCAATTGATTTTTAATATTAAAAAGAATTAATAATCTTCCAACAGATGCCCATGCTATCTACAAATGACACTTACAAGCAACAAATTGAATGTCTATCAATGCAACAAGTCTGTGGAACATACCCCAGAATTATTCTCATTTTGTTTATAATGGTTGTTTATGGGAGTGTATCACATTGAAGGTTTAACCTGATAGCTTTAGTCAGGCACAAGGCAAATGTGGCAGTGCAGCTTACAATGATTACCAATAAAAGAATCTAAAAAGCATTTATTAAAAAAAAAAAAAAAAGGTAGAAAACAAAGAAACTGTATTAGAACAAAAACTATACAAGATTGAAGAAAAAGAAATAAAAAAAGCATTAAATTCTTTGAAAGAATCAAATGGAAATCCACAGAAGATATGCATCAAAGTTAACATCAATAGATATGCATAGGCAAATATACAACCATAGATCACTTAATAAGTAATAACGCATGACAAAAGCAAACAAAATTCTTTTGAAAAATGTCAATTTTTCAATCGAAGCAAAAAATTAAAAATTAAAAAAAAAAAAAAAAAAAGTATAAGGACATAGATGACACATTTATAATAATTTTATCCTTGAGTCAGCAAAATGAGTAAACAAAATGATTCAGTAGTATTGCAGGAACAAATGTAAAATAATGGCCCTGCCATAGAAAAAAATTATCTTAGGTTTTTTCTTTACTCACTTCCCCAAAATTTCATATAACAAAGTTTAGTCGACAGTTACTTTTAGTAACACAAAATAGTGCCCAAACTCAAGGACTAAAATAGTCAGCCTGGTTCCATTAATTGCATCTTTCATTAATTTTACATAGCTTTAGCTTATAGAAAATGTACCTATGGAAGCTAAAGCACAAGCCCCATAAATAAGAAAGTTGCTGAAAGTAGACGGAATTGGGGAATGCTCCTTAGAAACATAGATATTAGGAAAAACATAGATTTTTGGAATAATACCAAAAAGAAAGGCAATCTTCGACCCACCAAAAATCTCATTTAGGTACCGATGTTATTCCCCCAATAACCAAACATTTTTGCTCAATCCAAATATCTATTTATGGTAATTTCATATCTCACTCTAGAAAAAAGCAATGATAAGACGATAATGTCAATAAAGAAGTTTATTTTTTATTCATTTGATTATATAAAATACACATAGAAAATTAAAATAGGAAATTTATGCAGAGTATAGGAAATTAGAAAATCAAAACGAAAACTCTCATGGACGTACAATGGAATATCCAGGAAGTCTAAGAAGTAGTTCAGTTCTATGGAACCCATAGCAGGATCTCAAGAAAAATATAACTTGAATAGAGACAACATATTAGAAATCTCAACAGAATATTAAAATCTGACATCCATGAATAAACTGAACCAAACATTTGAGAAATATTAATATAACCATAACATAATCCCAATAAACAAAATAATAAATTTACTAGACACCCAAATACTACCTGATTTAAACAACAACCATTATAACATACTAACAAATAACCCCAACGAGAAAAACACAATAATCAATTTACCAGAAAACCAAATACCAGGCCTGATTTAAACTACAACCATTATAACAAACCAAACAAAAACTTCAGCACAAATAGCATTGTATATAACTTACTCTGAAGCTTCTTGTCCATATACCTGAATCAATGCAGAATTCAAAAACACAATCATAACGGTGAACTAAACAAGAAATTTAAATCAACGATGCAATAAAACATAACAAATAAAATCGAGAGCCAGTGCAATTGACTAAGAGAATTTCATACCTGATCTTCAAAATTTATAATGATTTATTCATTCCTTTTGAAAAGGAAACACCAACCAAGAATAAAACTGATTCCTTCCACTTGGTGTAACCGGAAATATGGAACTCAAACTCTGGGTCTTGTAATGCACTTGTTAATTAAGAGCCGTTGGAGTCGATCATTTAAAAAAAAAAAAGTAAAAGTTTTTTAAATAATAATAAAAACTCTGGGTCCGAATCTGATGATGTTTTTTATTTTTTGAAGGCAATTAACATGAAGCCGTCAAGAAGCCAAGAGCAGAATTTTTTGAAAGTACGGTGGCAGATGAGAAAGTGCAAGAGATGGAGTCTCATTTAGGGTTGGGCTTAGGACGATTCAACTTTCTTCTATGTGGGTATTGTTAGGCTTGGGCCATTCTTAGATGGGCTTGAAGGGTCATTGGCCTGGGTTGAAATAGCCTCAAATAGGTGTTGATCTCGGCGAGTTAATGGTCTGGGTCGGGCTCGATGACATTGCTAGTGGGTTCCTATTATTGTTTGATTTGACCAGATATTAAAAAAGCAGTAAAAGCTTTTATTATTTCAAATGATTAACAAGCAAGATTATAAAAGAGCTTCTAAAGCTTTAACTAACTATCAAAGTTAAACATCTAAAGTTTAAATCCTCAAATTCAATTGGATAAAATAATAATAATAATAATAATAAGAAGTAAATTGATTGAGCTTATATACTTTAAAATCATAAAATTAAGATCAATATGAATACAAAATACTAATTCGACAGCTTAAGGATACATAATTGAATCCTTATTAAAAAAATATGACAATAATTATTTTCTCCTTTACAACAAACGATGGTGATCACATGATTCATACATAACCTTCAAGCTAAATAATTCTATGGGGATTAAAATGACAAACCACATTCACCCAGTTTCTTTTCTATTGTTTTATCTAAATGATCTGTTATTTCAAGTATAAGATAATTTCTCCAATCTCCAATCTTACATTTACGGAGGAACATTTTGTTGTCAACACAAAACATAATTAGAGGACTCACTCTTATTCACCTCAAAATTGATCATACTTTTAAAACTACAAATTTGAACAATATCTTGAGTTTTTCTTTCTTTTTTCTTGTACAGATTGAAAAATGATATCCTGTGAACTCAGCTATTCTTTTTAACATAAAATGGGTTTCCTTAATCACATCTTCATATTTTAAGAATAATACTTTGTCTGGCTGTTCCAAGCCTGCTTTCACACAAAGAGTTAGCCAAAGTCCTAGTCGTAACTCATACCTTGCTTTTATCCAAAGAGTTGGCCAAAGTAAAATTATTTCCAATGTTTCAAAAAGTCATAAATCTTGTATACAAAATTTACCCACCCTACCCCAGCTCCATTATTTAAAATCTGAAAATGGGTCAGATTTAGGTGGATTTGTGAGACAGTGAATTACCCCTTTTTCTTTTTTTCTTTTAATATAATTTAATTAACTTATAGGTAATAATAACATTTTACCTATAAAATTATTTTATAAATATATTTATGATTATTTGAATCAATGATCTAATAAAATAGTAAAAATCAAAAGTCCACAGCATCCATTGATTGTCATCAGCGACTATTGTCGAAGTGGGTCTAATAAGTAATAACACCATTTACATGAAAATGATCAAAACATTAGATCTATTCAACCATCAAACTCTCATAGGAACTTTAGAAAAAAAGAAAAAAAAAAAATCATCACATGGTAAGAAGTAGTTAAAGTTTCAAAATTCAAAACTTTGACCGCCTTTTGTTGCTAAGGGTGCATTTGTTTCCTATTTTTGCCCTATCATTTCTAAAATATACATTTGTTTCCATATTCAGAAAATACTATTATATTTTATTCAATTATTTTTAAATCCCTTAAGTTTGTTAATTTAACTAAACACTCTCAAAAAAGTTTAAAAATTGATAAAAACATCCTTATCCACCCATATTTGCCAAATTCCGACCACCACTACCGAAAGGTAGTCGGAATCTGATATAATAGCACACTACCAGCTGGATCTAGCCGATAGTGCACTGATCTAGCTTTTTTCGGCTCGATCCACGACAACCAGATCTACGACCAAAGATCTAGTCATTGATCTTTGACCGTAGCTAATTTTCAATAACGACCAAGATATGGCCATCGTTGACCATCAATAATGACCATATCATTAGCCGTCGTTGACAATAAAACGCAGCCAGATCACCAAATCCATGGTGGATCTGACCCTAAAAGGCCATATCGGTGCACGACCGACCAAATTCAGCTGGTCGTGCGCCTATACGACGACTGCGACCACCCTTTGGTGGTGGTCGCCAGCTACCGGTATTTAATGGATAGGTGAGAGTGTTTTTGTTAATTTTTTAATGTTTTATTATAGCGTGTTTAGTAAATTAACAAACCTAGGGGTGTTTTTGTTAATTTTTAAATCCTATCTCGTAATAACAACCAAACTCTTACTTTTTCAAAAATACTATCCAAAATACTAAAACAAATGCACCCTAAAATTTTGGCCAAGATCAACATATGGTTAAATAAATTGAAACAACAAAATATTTCTATGTAATTTTTTTTTTTTTTTTTGAAGAGCTATGGAGTCCGTGGCCAACTACTTTTAAAAGGGCCTAGAATTCCTTTCTAACGGCTTCAAGCCCACATACTAATGAAAAGAATTTGATTGCCTAGAGGCCCCAGTTTATAATCAATATAAATAAGGAGGTGGAGACATAGAAATAATTATGTAGGACATCTTACCACCTCATCTAGATGAGATGGTGAGACCGTCTAATGAAATAGTGGCATGTATTGTCACATATATGCTAAATTTTTTCTTTTATCCACCTATTAATATGATTGATCAATAACTCCTTTATTTGATTCATCAATTACCACCACCATGATGGGTGTTTATGAAAAATAACTTTATCTGTCACAATTTTATTGTACGATCTCACCACATCATCTAGATGAAGTGATAAGATTGCCTCATATAAGTTTTTCCTATGGGAATGAGGCAAAGGAGAGAAAATAAATAAGAACAGAGAAATGATAGAGAAGAACCACAAAGGAAAAATGAAAGAAAGGAGAGGAGGAAATTAAAGGGAGAAGAGAAGATATAATACAAGCTCGAACTTCTGACAAAGAAATTGAAAATGTGAAGACTACCCACATATGTAAATCAAACAAATCATGGAAACACATTTCAATGTATATACTATGCTACCTAACATAAGTGGCTTAACATCTGAACAACGAAATTTAATGTCTATATCCTAAGGGTTGGCCAATGTATGAAGCAATGACCACTCTATAATAAATGGTCATCCCTTGAAGACGCCCTTGAACAAACTTCAGCATAAAGAATGGGTATGCATTAGCCCCAAATATATCAAAGATTTATATTGAACCGTCCAATTTATTCTGGTATCAAGCTATAGGACATTCTTCGTGGATAATGCATGACAACAATTAACACAAAAATCAGTTCAACTACTATATGCCAAAGTAATAACAAACTGTTTACCATTACACTATTGTTCATATAGAAATAATCAAAGCGAACTAAGTTATACTCAAATTTTATTAAACTGACACCTGACCAACA